GAAGAACGAGAAATTAGGAGAAAGAGAGAGAGAAGAAGGGGAACGACGGAGAGAGGCAGATAAAGAGAGGGAGAGAGATTCTGGGTGAAAGGGGAGAGGAAAAAAGAAGAGTTGTTGAGATAAAGGTCAATTCCACGTGTGTCAACTAGGAACCTTTTCCCCTCTGGTGTTTTCTAACTCAGAAAAGACATACAAGAAATTTATTGTAAATATATAATACTGGCGTTGTAGATAGAGTCTCAAAGCGTTTTATGATGGTATAGATGGCTGCAATTGCCGAGAGCTGTGGAAGAAACCACATCTGACACCATATCGCGATCATGCAACTTGTTGGGCACCGAGTCTACCGTAAATGCCAAACAGTGGGCGCACTACAGCACCGGCCCATCCGCCCGCATGTTCAGAGTTCCTGAGGGCATAGTGAAGGTGAGCGCCATATTTAAAGCCTCTGGCAATCCCTGTTCGAAGGTGATGAGTAAAACGCTGTATATTACCGGACGGGGCAGTAATATCACACCTCAAATGAACAAGGTTTACACTATTTTCTCCAGCCCAACAATAAAAAATTGTTCAATCTCTATAGGCAGAAATCTATTTTCCCTTAATGATTGCAGCATCTGATTGCAACAAAAGATATCCTAATAAAGAGAGAGACAATAAAGTTTCACGTTGCATCTGATAAATCTATTTTCACAGAGTTACCTTCTTGCTGTTGCTGGAGTTATGATGCTTTTTCTACCTAAATCAGGAGGTTACCACTCATTTGTTTTAGTTCAAAAGCACGTATGTGCTAGGGAGAAAACGTAAAGTGTTAAGAAGATTGGATCAGGAGTGATATCTCCCACGAAGGGAGCACCACGTGTATGCCACAAGACCGTTCACATCACATGCATACTACAATAGTCTTGCTATGCGATTCCCCTCATCTGAGTACCTTGCAATGCGTAACCCTATAATCTCTCTGAAAGATAATAAGAAAGTATCTTGTCCTTTTCAGATATCGTCGTAGATTTTACTTTCCTGCTGTCTAGTGAACTTTCATGGGTTTTTCTTTGGAACAGCTAAGCATATTCACTGCATGAGGGCCTAGTTGTTTGCACATCACTGCAGCCATAAGATAACCTAATGGATTTGGACAGGGAAACTTTGACATGTTTTGTATCTCTTTGTTACAGAGTGACACATTGTCAGGCTGAACGTCAAATTGGCCAGCGAGTGGTGTGCTTGAAGGTTGAGTATTTTCCATCATAGATCTCTAAACTATTGTCTCGTGATATCCTCTAGTGGAGCCGTCACATTATTTAACATTTTTCTCTATCAATCTCCACTCCAAGAATTGTTCTTACGATTCAGAGATCTTCTATCTCAAATGCCTTTTAAGGTACACAAAATATATATCACACTGATATATAATTTTTAAGTATATTAAGCAGTGAACTCATTCTAAGCAGACCCATTTCTTATCAAAGTGGAGTAGTCCTCACTCCAATACCTCAGATAATGCATCAAACCTTTTGTTCCATTGCCCTACAAATTTTATACATAACTTTTGCACTATCTTAGTTTCTCCTTCCACACTTAGTAAAGAAAGGCTTTCTTTCCGTCTAATTGCTCCACCTCAAGATCATAGCATGTAATGTTTGTCAATAAGATCAAAATAGATGCCTTCTTTATCATAGCACTCCAAATTCCTTCAACACTGACTTTTCCTTCAAGAAGGCTAGTTTTGTTCAGAAAAGAGTTTTTTACTTTGTAAACATCTATTTGTATTTGATCAACTTCTTCCCTTTGAGCATTTCTGTAGGCTTCCACACATGGTTTCCTTATTTTTTTTGTTGCAACACACTTGATTAAAAAGTCATTTTAATAATAAAAAACTCTTGAAAACCCTTCCACTTCTAGAAGGATGCCAATATCCTTGCACATTGTTCTCATATCCCAAATAGATCTATTGTTTTAACTTTGGATCTTGTTGTAAGCTTCATTTTACTAATAACGAACTCTTGAAAATTGATCAAGTTGAAGAAAAAAATCTTTTCATGTTTTAATTCCTAGACTTTATTGAGTTTAATGTAGTGTATGATATATAAGTTTCAGTCAAGACACTCAAAAATTTCAAGCATTGATGTGATACCTAATTCAAAAGTTTTCTACACATTGAATGAAGAGAGGATGGAGTGTGAGGGTATTCCTATCTAGCCTTTTATGTAATCACTCTAGCTTATAAGCTTGTTGTGAGCCCTGAAGGAGAAGAGAACTTATGTTTTTAGGATCTTTGTTTTACTGATGGTAAGAATCAAAAGTTGAATTGAGCATAATTAAATATTTTTAGAATTTTTTTATGGATAGTAACTGAAATGCTTTACCATTATAGATAAAAAAATTATTGATAGAGAATTACCAATATAATTTCATTACTAATCTAATTATGGCAGTCATGATAAAAAAAGGTTTAGGAATTGAATTTTTAAATGGTCTCATACACAGTGAAATTATAATGTGAAATTTTTCACAATTTTTTTTCAATACCTAAACTTTTATGATGAATATATGGATCCAAATGTTGTTTGACATATATTTCAAAGAAGAAGAGAGAAAAAGATATTTGATATATAGATTTCATCAGAGTAATGATAATTTTCTTTTGTGAAACTCAGCCATTAACATGATAGCTAATGTTTTTATATCTAGCCATGTTAAACTAATATAAAATTTAAACCTATAAGGCTTAAACTCTAAAAAGGGGGCAGTGAATAAGGTTCTATGCTTTTTAACTAATTTTCATTTTTGGCTATTGGTTGTGGGTATCATTATGTGTGTCAATACATGTGTGCTCACAACTCTCTTTTACCAAGAACACCAAATTTTTTTATATTGGTTCACCCCTCACCCAATTGTGTCTAGTCTCAAAGGAATCATTGTATTGGTATTTCACTATTCTCTCTCAAGAAATACATGTTGATGTTTATTGGCTCAACTGCCCAACCACTTAAGTTTGTGTCCTTAAAGACTCCACAATTTTAGGACCAAAATAGGCTACCAACACCATATGCTTTCACCCATTAGTCTCTCCTCTCACCACTTAGTTACCCTAGGCCTGATAATGAGCTTTTTCTTGAATAAGACGTTTGATCATTTTGTCAAAATTGAAGGGAGATGAAGCTGAAGCCTTTTGAATTGTCATTGATACTTGTGGCAGGAAGAGCTTGACAAAATTTAGTGGATCTTCATGGAGTCAATCATATTCTTGTTCTCAAGTCTCTTTTAATAGTTTCTCGAACATCTCAAAAGTGAACTCTGTTAAAGAGGAACATTGTCCTGTTAAATTATTATATGCATAATGTTTTGCTGACAAAAAGCTAATACAAGACTAATTTTAAAAGACCAAATTAGACTTTTCTTCAAATATACTTGATATGAGAATATATGTGAGAGTTTTTATATATAGTTTGAGACAATGCTTATAGTTATTCAGATAAGAATTTATCAAATATACATTGTAATAAAGAGCTGAACTTACAAGATTTACTAATCCCATGAGAAGAAATGACTATGGTGCATATTGCTATGAAATCATAATATTTACAGAATATGACACATTGAGAAAGTAATGACTAGCACATATAAATCAACAAGATTTCATGAAGAAAATGAGTATGAAAGCATAGTCTACTATATGCTCATGATATTAGATTATTACTTTTGAATAACTTTAATATCAAAATAACCAATTGATTTCAGACTATTTATTTTGTCAAACATAATTTTCTAGAGGTTGAGGAATATACTTTGGAAAATTAGTTTGGATATCTTGAATCAATCAAACTATTATCATTTAAATCAGAGTTCAGTGTATTCACTTAAAAATCATATTGATAAATTATCATATTGATAAGACATGTTATCTGACAATCAAATTCGTTTCAAACTGATTCAACTTGGGATGTATTAGATAGTAATGTTAGTCTTTAAAAAAATCGTGTAATTTTTCAAAAGTTATCCAAATGGACTAAATGACATATCATATTAGATTTCTAGACATTTAAAATTATGTTTATCCCAAGAAAAATAGACATTAAGAGATTGTAGAGAGTTGGGAAATTTTTAACATATGATTTATCTATAAATACTCAAAAATTTGAAGGTATACATTCAAGAAATATTACAAAAGCATCCCATGGTGATTCCTTAATTATTTGTCATGCGATAAATGTGAACTATCTTAGTTTTGGCCTACATTAAGACCAATAAGAGGAGAGTTTGAATTATCCTTTTCCTCTTATATTAATCTTTAAAGGATTTTTCTTCTCTTTGGATGATAAGAGAGTGGCTTTCCAAAGTTACATGGAATACACCATCTTTTTATAATGGTTTAACTCACCACCTATATCCATTCTCTAAGAACAACTTCATATTAGATTCATGCCTCTAAGAGGTTACATTGCTACCTCACTAAGATAGCTATTTAGAAATTTTTCTCTAAAAGTTTCATTTGGATTCACAACTCTAATAGGCCACACTAATATTTCACTAAGACAGCTTCTACATGTTATAATTGAGATTCTAATGTCAATTCTATTTTAGAATTATCACTATAGGATGTCTTCAAAGATTGATGTTGACTTGGGGTTTATCTAGAGTTCTTTAACCTTGAATGCACTTGCCCTCTTTAACCCTTAATTTTATTTTCTTTTTGCAGAAGAAAAAGAGACAACAATGAAGATCAAGAAGACAAATATTGGATAGGATCAAAGGAGAGCAGTAACCTATCTTAAATTTTTTCTAAAATTGATGATTTTTTATGGATGGTAGAAGGTCTTTAGATCCAAGATTAGAGCCTTCTTCAATCGTTGAAAAATAAAGCTTCAAAAGAAAAATCAATTCCTATGAATCTTGAAGGTAGTACATGTTAAACTGAGAACAATCATATGGTTATGAAGAATCATCATATCCTAATTTTTACCAATGACCATCTAATATTAGAGTCCCATTAGCACGCACTATTCTATTTGAGATAAATCTAGGTATTTTCTAAATACTTCATAATTTCCTTGAATTAACTTTAGAACAACTTCATCAATAGTTATAATTTTTTTTATGTGATTTATGATTTAAGCAACCTCTTTCAAGTTACACAAAAAATTATTAAGATGAAATTATTCATCAATAGTTATAAGCTCTTTCAAGCAACCTCTTTCAAGTTAGGTAATGGTTATCTAGCTTACATAGAGAATTAGTTAGTTGGCAATATATAGAACAAGCCTTATAAAATTTTATTCATTAGGAAAAACCCAAAATATGAGGAACTGGAGTTTTTTTCGAAGGCTGAGATAAATCTTACATGATCTGTGGAAAAAAACTAAGGATTTACATAGAAAATATCCTAATTATGCTATATTGAAGTGATATCTCAATAAAATATTTTATGATAAATTATTAGAGTAAAATATGAGTACAGTAGATTTTATTTGTGGAAGAGATTTTATGGATAAAACTCTTGATGAAATTTATGGACTTTATGAGAATTTAAGTGAGAATTTAAGTGAGAATTTTAGAGATCAAGCCTCTTTCGATTTATATATAGGAATAAGAAAAGAGGTACGTTTGAAATGCTTTGTCTTGATGATTCTAGATTAAAGGATGTGGATGCCCTCGGTGTTGAGACATACTATGTGTTTTAACACATACGGTGAAAAATTTATTTACAAATCGTTCTTAAATGAGTTGCCCTAATATGCATCACGATTATCGTTATCACTAAATGAGTTTAATTGACAAACATTCAAATGATATACATTGATGACATTATATGCAATCCTATGGCTAACAATAAATTTCGAGGAGTCACTCCCTTGAGATATCTTTATATGTTTAATTAATACAATATTATATTTCTCAAATATAAAGTACAACATAACATGTGACAAAATATGTGATGAAGTTTCATGAATGTTATGGAAAACTTTAGTCACTAGTGAGATTCAAACACAGTACTTGAGTAATCTGAAGAACGAAGCGTCAATTCAAAAATATCTAAAATACTAAAGTCACACTATGGAAGACATGAGATTCAAACGTAGGAAGTATGATAGCAGAAGTAAGAAAAATGATGGCCGAATTAAGTAAATCAAGGCATGAGCAAAATTTGTGTTTGAAGCACTATAGCATCACATGGAAAGCTAATCAAGATATTCAACGAAAAATAAATAATCATTGACTGAAGTAAGTGTTAAGCTCATGACCCTCAAGGTAGCTACATTAGACCATTTGTATGAAGCAGAGGAAGAGATGGAGAAGTTATTGCCACATAACCTACATAATGACATGTTAGAGTCTTATGTGGAGAAAACGACAAAGTGAAACAACTAAGCTTTGACTTGACATCAAGAGAAAGATCTATCATTGAAGTTACAGTTATCTCCAAATAGAAATTTCAAAGATCACTTGTGAGAGAACTGCACATTTTAAAACAAATGAAGCCTCAGTTTTGGACTCATCATTGCTCCATGTGGTGATTATGTCTTTCTTCCTTTTGTTCATCTTCAGCAGTAAGCATTCAGTCTTGAAGTGGCCTAAATTTTCTAATGAGTGAAGCTATTTCTTCTTCATCATTCTCACCATATATATCAATTTAGTCTTCTATTCTTAGGGTGACTATTTTCAACTTTCTCTAAAATATCTAATGATTTGTGTAGGCTTTTTTCTAAAGTTAATAAGGATCGCATATGCTCATCAAATAATAAATTTTCGATCTTTAGTCTCCTTATTGCTCTAGATCATCAAATACTTAAGTCCAAACCATTATGCTTATCAATCTATTCTTTAATGTATTAAGTTCATTATCAAAACATGGATATGATCAAAAGCCCACAATGTCTTATCACCTATGATTATCCTTATTTATCTATGACATTTTTCTTGATACTATAATCTTTATGTCATTTCTATAGACTCAGTTGCAAGATGTTTTTTGTTTTGCATAATATTGTGAAAACTCAGATATTCAAAGCAATGTGAGTTCATAAAAATAGAGTTTATTGCACTTTCAAGCATTATTAATAAAAATAACTATGGCATTGGACTCTTTTAAGCTGCATAATCCTCACTAAGGTCACTACTATCATAGATGAGAGGAATTTCCTTTGGTTCACTTTGTTTTATTTATAGGCCACATACAACTTATTGGTAGCCCCAACTAGTGATTGACTAAAATGAGGGAGATTACAATGGAATTTATGTACTCAATAAGATAGTTTTAGTTATAAAAAAGGAATGATCAATGCACTTATCTTAAGACTGCATTACTTTGGGAAGACATTTCAATTGTTTCTTGATATTTCTAGCATAGGCCTTAATGGTATTCATAGTTGATAACTGGACACAGTGACATCTCATAGTGAGATGGTGAATAATTCCAACGTGAGATATTCCACATGATATAGAGCTTTATACTATTGTGGAGTCTACATAGATCACAATTTTTTTACCTATAGAGATGGACACAGTTTTTCTATTGTAAAACATAGAAAGTGAATTATTTTTTTACCTTCAAGTGCTCAAATAGGTTCACAAATAGAATAAGTTTAATCGTTGACATAGTAAGTAGGTACAGTCTCGTTACAAGTTTATATTTGAGATACAGTACATAGGTTTTGTATACAGCAGGTGACAAATGCATGAAGTAAAATAGTTAATTTATGGTAGACTACAAAAGTTGGGATCATCAAGTTTGTGGACTTCTGTGATTTTTGCTCTGCAAGTAGGAAACAACCGGTAACTCTAAATATCTGATTGATCTTTTAAAGGAAGTCACAAGCTAGATTAAGTTCTTAGATTGAAGCAACTAATAGAGAAGCACAATGTTGAAGTAGAAAATAATTCCCATTTGTGCTTTAGGTAGCAGATAGGATATAGGCTATCTTGATTAATGATGTTTAACAGGTACAATAAGGTTAAAAATGCATTGTATTTTGAGAAAAGATCAAGCAAATGGACCCTTTACGTAGAGTAGCCAATGAATCCAGGAGCATTCTCTTAGTGATCGACTCTAAGATCAAGAGATATGTCAATATATGGATATATACTAATACACATGCACAGAGTGAAAGAGAGAGAGAGAGAGAGAGGAGAGAGACAATGAGTGCATGAGAGAGAGAGAGAGAAAGAGAGAGGAGAGAGAAAATGAGTTAATGAGAGAGTGTGAGAGAGACAATGAGTTAATGAGAGAGTGAGAGAGAGACAATGAGTTAATGACATAGAACGAGAGAGAGAGAGTGAGAGAGGGGAGAGAGAGAGAGAGAGTGAGTGAGCAGGGAGATAGACAATTGATAATACGCTAAAACTACTCATTAATTACCTTAAAGAGAATATATTTTAGGATCAAATATCTTATATTAGCATGTTATCATATTTAAAATAGCCAAATAATAAATTTATAATGATTCTATTTTTTTCCTATTTTGAAAATATTCTCGGATTTTTATGACTTTTTTTTGAATTTATTTTGATATATTTAAGTCATGAGGATATTTAAGTAATTTAGGGAAATACATATATTTTATTTCACACATTCTAGGGGTTTTTTCACAGTTAACGACACGTGTCAACCGCTGGATTTTTATATAGATTTGACACGCCGTCGTATGCGATGCATGGCGGCATGATTATTTAAATTCATGAATATTTTATTCAAGCCGAAATTACGTGGAATGCGAGAAGATGAGGTATCGCACCTGGAAGGTGAGAAGATGTTGACTGATTGCGCCTCTTATTTCGGCGCTTCTTAAAGACGTCTCATCACCGAAAGCAGCGATTAATTACGTCTCGTCACCGAATGCGGCGGTTAAGCACGTCTCCCATGAAAAGCGGTGGCTAAGCACGTTCTCCCCAAAAGCGATGATTAAGCACGCTCTCTCACCGAAAGCAGTGGTTAAGCACGTCTCGTCACCGAATGCGGCGGTTAAGCACATCTTTCCACCAAAAACAGCGGTTAAGCACGTCTTGTCACCGTAAGTGGCGGTTAAAGACGTCTCTTCTCAACCGTCACCGGTGGTCCTTTTGTGGTGGGGACACCCAATCAACGACCCAGATTTCTCCGTCTTCTAGGATTGTTATCTGTCGATCCAGAAGGGATTTCAAGCCCAAATTTTGTAGGCACAATCTTTAAGATGTCCTTTTCACATCCTATTTCAGATCGACAAATAACCTTCAAAAAGGTTGTGAAAATGAAGGAGAAAAGTTAAATGTATTTTGAGAAAGGGAAAAAGATATTTTGGGAAATTTTACTATTTATATGTATTCCTTTCACCCTCTTTCCTTCTAATCTTTTTGGAATGAGTCCTAACAATGATTAGTCGGAGTGAAACAACTTCTATTCTAAAGATCCATTATTCTTCCATTTTTGTATAATTTTGAGTGATCAAGAAAAACTTTAAGGGCAAAGTTGAGTGTTGATGATCAAGTTGCAAGGAGTAAAATGTTGGAGATCAATCTATCAAAGTAAACTATCTGACCTTGGTGACAGATAAAGGCCCAGGTTGAGGAATCTTCTTCCTTGTGTTACTTGTTTTCTTTCCTTCTTCCCTAGGGTGAAACCTAGGGTTTAGATATATTTTAGTAGTTACATTATTCCTTGTCAACCTCGACCATTCTTTCTCATTAAAATACTCTCAAAACTTCTTTTCTACACCCTCTAGGTTAACCTTGATCTAAGGTTTCTTTCATACATCTTATTTCACTCATGTTTTTCATCTCTCACTCATTTCTCATCTCTCTTTCTCTTGTCCATTTTCTAACTTATTTCTTCTTATTACTTAGGATTTCTTAAAATTATTAGTTTTTCTCCTTGTGGTTTGACTCCTAGCTTACCTTCTCTACTTATTAGATTGATTAGGATAGTAAAAATAGAAATATTTTTAGATAACCTCACTTAAGACCTACGACATCCCAAGTATCAAGTTATCAACAATGAGTTAATGAGAGAGAACAAGATAGAGTGTGAGAAAGGGGAGAGAGATAGAGAGAGAGAGAGAGGAGAGAGAGTGAGAGAGAGTGAGAGGAGAGAATGAGTTAATGAGAGAGAACAAGAGAGAGAGAGAGAGAGAGAGAGAGAACAAGAGGGAGAGGAGTTAATGAGAGAGAGAGAAGCAATGAGTTAATGAGAGAGAACAAGAGAGAGAGGCAATGAGTTAGTGAGAGAGAACAAGAGAGAGAGAGAGGCAATGAGTTAGTGAGAGAGAACAAGAGAGAGAGAGAGGCAATGAGTTAGTGAGAGAGAACAAGAGAGAGAGAGAGGCAATGAGTTAATGAGAGAGAACAAGAGAGAGAGAGAGACTGAGTGAAAGAGAGAGAGAGAGAGAGAGAGAGAGAGAGAGAACGAGAGAGAGAGAGAGTAAGAGAGATAGAGAATGAGTGAATGAGAGAGAGAGAGAGAGAGAGGATAGAGAGAGAGAGGGGGACAATAACTCATCAATGGGGCATTTAAATAAGGGACTGCGTCGATCTATTCCATGTGGAGTTAAATCTGGTTGCAGTCTAGGTAAGAAGAGATGAGTTTGTTTCCAGCGGGAAGTCAAATACCAGTCCATTTAGTTGAAAAATTTATATAGTTGACTTTGAGATATTTCAGCGAGGAAGAGGGTACAGAGAGAGTGGAAACCTGAAGGCCAATAATGTACTGCAACACAATTCTGTCTACCTGTTTTGCACGGTAAATGTGCTTGTTTATATGGTGTAGACATAATTGATAAGTGTTTTATAAGTAAAATGATGAAAAAGAATAGTTTTGTAATTGATTGGGATGTTGACGAAATGGTCAAAAGTAGGCATAAATGACAGTGATTCGAAGCCCTACCAACATGAACAATTGAGTAACGCGTTCTGATCACAAAAACTGTCTTAAATTCACAATAGGATTGAATATGACTAAGATGCTGGGGGGGGAAGTGAGAGAGACAGGGATGCCAGGAGAGAAGAGAGGAGAGAAAGACAAAGGACAGCGACCAATGATTGGAAGCCGCGGTTGTCTACGACTCAAGTGATTTATTTTGGTGCCGGATAACATGTTAGGTTAGAAGACTGGTGCAATCTGTTTCTAGCGGGGACTACCCCACTGTTGGCTACCAGTCGAATGCCAGCCGCACACCCCCCCTATGTTCATTGTTTACTACGTTGACTTCGAATGCGAGGAGAGAAGGAGAGAGAACTGGCCATTGACTGACCAAAAAATTGAGCTGAGCACGTGTTCATCATTATTATTAACTTCCCGATTGATTAGTCGACCATGGTCTCTGGCTGGTTTGGTGACAATCCATGTTTTCATTTTAATCTCTTGAAAGGCTCTCTCTCTCTCTACTTTGGTCTCCATTCACCCTTGCTGCTCTAGCTCTACTGTTGCTCTTCCGTCATAGGTGAACTCATTTGTCAAAACAAAACTTTGTTTTTTGTTTTTCAGCTCGTTACTCACCCTCTCTCTCCTTTTCTTATTGGTTCTCCTATATAAAGGGGCACAAGGTGTTTGACGAATTAATGTTTACTATTTTCTTGAAATACACTATGTACATTCTTTCTCATTCTCTTTGGGTGTTTGATAAGTTTTCATTATCATGAGTTAATATTAATAAATACTATAATTTTAGTCTTAACTATGATAAACAGATTTATTTTATGTTAAATTGTGAAAAGTGGTCTTTAGGTGGTTAATGTGATTTTTGGTTAATTATATGATTTTATGTGAATTTATAAAAAAAATTATAATCTTATTTTTGATAAATGAAGAAAAAAATAAAAAAAATAAAAAAGGGGAGACCCACCAGATAATTGAGCCCGCAAGTGGGTCAAAAGCATAATCGGGGTGGAGCCGCAAGTAGGGGCTTGAGTGGCTATGGACCGGTGGGGGCACGTGTGCGTCACTCCCTTTCCACGTCACTAGTGGTAGTCAGGCGTGGGGCAAGGAGTGGTCATACACATGCGAGAAATGAAATAATTACTTCCTAAATCTTGCATTACTATATATGTGTCTCAACATTTGGCGTATAACTGATGTGAGACTAAACCGACAGTCACACTTTCCTCGGAATGTTTTGATGATTTTAATATTAAAAATATCCCTTATTTATAACAACGAGATATCATGATGATGTCATTATATAAGAGTATTTGATTACTTATTTCACTCTCTCCTGTAGGCAAACGACTAGCGTAGGTTCAAATCTTACTAGAGTTAAAACTTATTTCTTTTTATCTAATTAAATCATGATTTTTCTACAGATTGTCGATTAAGGATTAAGTCACCAAATTGCTCAATCATCAACAAAAATC